CATGAAAAGGCTATGGTGATGGTGGAAGGCGACCAAGAAACTCTTGACACGAGCGTTCCATTGATGGCCTAGACTTTGGCTCAGCTCGCATGCGCGCAATGCAATGCTTTAAGCCATTGGAAAATAGTTGCTTGGAGAAATAAACAGAAGTGCTAACACCTCGTTGGGGTGTGGACACCCTAAACACTTTTATCTTTAAAAATTTTAATTTTTTTTACCGGTCCATTTCCTTTTTAAATGGTGTTTCTTAAACTTTATAAATATTCATTTGAAACTAGAGTTTAGAAGCTTTTGGAGACCAAGAGAGAGACAATAAGAAAGAACTCAACATCAAAAGAAGATTAAAATTTCAGATTTTATATCATCAAACTAGTTTTATATATTTTTTAATTTTGTTTTATGATATCAAATATTCTTATGTTTATAATGAGATAAGACTATGACCTAATATAGTCAATTTGATATAGAATTTTATGATTTTTATATATCCTAAAAACTTATTATATATTTTATATAAAGTATATATTATTATTCTTAATACTTATTAACTATTGACCACTATAAAAATTAATTTGGAGAGCATAATTGAAACCGAAATGAGGTTTTATGCACTAATTTGTAATGATAGATACCATAAATTAGATGAAAATTAGAAATGGACGAACGTCAATCATGCAGAATTCAACAACGTAGTCATTGACGACTTTGAGGTGGTTCTATGATTTCTATTCTTGATCAAATTAACCATCTGATCAAATTAACTATCCACTTCAGTTTTGTTGTTTGACTTGTTCCATTGTTGAGTTTCGTGAAAACAATTAAAAATGTTGATGATAATTAAATATGATTTTGTTATAGTTATGGGCAATTAGTGAATATTATAAGGGTAATTTGTAATAATATATACCATAAATTAGATGAAAATTAGAAATGGACGAACGTCAATCATGCAGAATTCAACAACGTAGTCGTCAGCTACTTTGAGGTGGTTCTCCAATTTCTATTCTGGATCAAATTAACCATCCACTCCGGCCAGTTTTTTTGTTTGACTTGTTCCCTTGTTGAGTTTCGTGAAAACAATGAAAAATGTTGATGATAATTAAATTTGATTTTGTTATAGTTATGGGCAATTAGTAAACATATAAGGGCATTTTTGCTTATATAAATAAATTTTTATGTCTAATCGCATTTTAATCCAGTGGTCAACCAAACATCTCATTGAACTTAACATAAGATATTTTATCTAATTCAATCCAATTATATCTTTTAAATCATATCAAATGCAATTCAATCTTGTATTGCTAGAAGGTCCATATTAGCTCATTGGCTTCTGGAGCTAACTGGGCCCATCCCACGGTCAGCCTCACCAAGTCTCAATGATGCCTCCTAGATCCTTCCAGTATATATTCTTGTTCTTTTCCTGAGCACTTATCTCTCCATTTTCAAATTATTGGTATTTAGCTTGACTAAATTGATGTCCGATGAAATTTCTATTGATTGCAGAAATTAAGCTTGATTGAGACTTCAGCTGGGTTTCAAAATTCAAATCCAAGACTTTGTATCCATGAATGAAGATTGAAGACGTTTTTAATTGGCTAAATTTTCTTGTCAGTAATTAAGCCATGAAATTGCCTAGTTGGGGGACCAAAAAGGCACCCATAATTGGTCTTTGCATACTTTTTTTTAATAAGATCCATAATCCAATCTTTTGATGTAATATTCAACAACTGAAAAGAAGGAATGACAATTTATAATACAGGACATGATTTCTATACTGTATTGTTAATATTATCTTGAATTTTAGTTAAAGCTTGAGAACATTCTTGATAATTACTTGTACTTTGTTGTGTTTTATTAGTGAAATCTAAATAATTTTGATGGTAAATGTATTATAGGTAACTGATATAAATATTGTGTTATTTTTTTTTTTTAATTTTGTTTCTTTATCTCTTGCTGTAACAAATGCTAGTTTAATGTGCAGCTGTACCGATCCAAAAAAAAAAAAAATGTTTTCCATCAAAGATTCCATTTGAAGAACCGTGATATTTAAACTAGATGACTTGAAACTTTTGGTTGAGATTCTCTTCCATTGTTTCCAACTTCAATTCAATTGCAATTTCTGTTACACGAAAGTCATGCCAGTGGAAAGTGGAAATTTATTCTTCTGACAAAAATAGTTCAGAATTAGTCCAACTTGTGGAAACAATTTTCCATTTTTCTCATCCCTGGTTTCTAAGAATATGTGGTATGCGGAATCGAATGCCTTCAAGTAATAATGATGACTAGAAAGTTAGAAACAGCCATGTTATGATGAATTTCCAAAGTTAATTATATCAGACGTAGTTTCTGAGCAAATTCGGTACTTCTCATATCACTGAAAGCACCCTTTAAAAAAAATGCAAATAGAAGGTAACTCCTTTCTTTGTCCCTAACCTTTTTATAATGCTTCAATATTGTCTGTAATGTTTCATTTGTCACACATTTTCAAATGAACCATTTTGTCGAGCCTTAGCCGTCAGGAAGGATGGAAAAGTCCAGCCGCCATCTTCCATCTCTCTTCAATAAATTTTGGTTAGGTTAAATGCTATATTTAGTCCCTTAACTTTACAAAATGCATATTTTTTATCCCTCAACAATTTTTTGTATTTTTTTAATCCCTTGACTCTAAAAATTGCACAATTTTTGTCCCTCCATCAGTTAAGTATAATGTGGCAGTTAAATAATTTCATGTAGCATTGTCTTTTAATTTTTTTGATGATGTGGCAATAATATATATTATAATTATGTTATATAAATAAATAAAAATGCAACGTAGATTAATATTTATATTTTAATTAAAAACAAATAAAATTACCTTATTACCCTCACCCTCCCAATCCCTCTTCTTCCCGTTCTTTCTTTCTCTTTCTTTCTTTCCTACCCTAGGTTGGTGGAAATAGGCTGGGTTTCAATGAACCCAGCTTTGCTGGGTTCGATGAAACCCAAATCTACTGGGTTCCGTCGAACCCAGATCTGTTGGGTTCCGTTGAACCCAACCTTGCTGGTCACACAAACCAACCTTGCTGGTTTTGTCGAAGGTTGGGTTCGTCGAAACGCAGATCGGAACCCAACCTTGCTGGTCGCGTGAACCAACCTTGCTGGTTTGGTCGAAACCCAGCCTTGTTGGGTTCGTCAAAACCTAGATCGGTTGAGTTCCGATGAATTCAACCTTGCTGGTTGCGCAAACCAGCCTTGCTGTTTTGACGCTGGGTTCATGTTTTTTCATTCTTCTTTCGATTTCCATTCCTAGTTGTTAATAAATTTGGGAGTTGATTTACAATTTGATTGCATTTTTGTTGGAATTTGATTAGAGTTTGATTGATATTGTTTATTGAATGGTTAATTTGATTTGATAAGATCTGCTAGGTTTGAGGATTCAATGAAACCCAGTAGCTGGGTTCAATGACAGAGAATTCCAAATTCTTCTTTGGAGCATTCTAGGGTTCATAGACATATTATTTTGTAAGGACTCACCCCACTCGCAGTAGAGGCAACCCAACTCGAGCAAATCTCATCACGAATTCCCTGCATTTGGTCAATTTCTCAAGTTCCCCTGAGAAAAGAGAAGAAGAAATGGGTTAAGATCAGTTTTGTAGATGAAGTGGAGATGAGAGAGCATTCAGAGAAGAAGAAGAAATGAGAGAGCATTCAGAGAAGAAGAAAAAATGAGAGAGCATTCAGAGAAGAAGAAGAAATGGGTTAAGATCGATTTTGCAGATGGAGTGGAGATGAGAGAGCATTCAGAGAATAAGAAGATATGAGTTAGATTGATTTTGTAGAGAGTGAAGATGAGAGACCATTCTAAGGTTCATAGACTTTTCTTTATTGGTGGTTTGCAGGCAACGTGAGACCCATTGGAGAGGCTTTGGCGCGGGAAGATGACATGTCATCAAAAAAAGTCCAGATCAGCACCTTTTTAAGTTGTCCTCGCCATGTCATAAAAAAAAAATAAAAAATGCCATGTGGCCGAGTTAACGGCTCAAATTGACAGAAGGACTAACGGAGTGCATTTCGTATAGTTGAGGGATCAAAAAAGTGCAAAAAATTGTTGAGAGACCAAAAATATGCAACTCACTAAAATTAAGGGACCAAATTTAGCATTTAACCTTTTGGTTAAAGAAAAAATAAAAAGTCATTTCGGAGCTTTACATTTTGAATTCAAGAAAAGAACAACATAGCCCATAACTAGAAATTTTACTCTTTATGTCTGTACGGAATTTTGTTAATGGTTTCCCACGATATTTGATTTACACACCCATCTGGTTTCGGTGCGCCATGATAAGCTATCTGATTAAGATCTTCATCGTTATTACAGTTTCAGCAGTGGCACTTCTTCCATGTCTTTGTCCGTTCAGCACTTATCAAGGATATGTGGCCTTGACACGGTTGAGGGCGGATGAAATTTCTTTTAGGGTTTTTAACTTATCTCAGCGTAAGAATGCATTATTTATTTATTTTTTATAATTAATTTATATAAAATAAATAAAATTTGATTTTAAAATTATCTATTATTTAATTAAAAGCATTCAGGTGGTGTAAGTATTAAAATTAATATTTATTTTTATATTTATTTATAAAAATTTTTTGTAAAAAATACATTTAATATATTTTTAATTTATACTTTGATGTTATAGGTTAAAAATCATTTTCTTTTTATTGTAAAAATTAAGTTTATTAGAAATTCACACTACTAGAAAAATGACGTATACGGACCGAACATATACGGACCGAATAGTGTCGGTCCAAATAAATAAATATCCGAACCAATATCGGTCCAAACATATTTAGGTGGTCCAAAGTATACTACTGAACATATTCGGACCGGTATCGGTCCGTATAT